TAGTGACACTCCAATTCAATTTCCCAACGTTTCGTTGTTTATTACAACCTTAGTTACAACTCTATCATGGATCTGAAAATGGAGAAAAAAATTTCCAATAATCTTTCTCCTACAATGTAGGAAAAGGAACGTGTTTCACAAGCACATAGTCAACAATTTAAAATGTGTCTATTCTTTACAAATAGATCAACATCCATTGACTAATAAGATTGAGGCAATAGGATGCAAGTTTAGGATCTCTGTATTGAATGTGGAAATTAAGATTACATTATGGAAGCTTGGACTGCCTGAGGAACAGTTTAGTACTATTACTGCAAGAGCTAAACAGTTGGTGAACGCTTGTGTCCCTGTCTCTGGTCTCGCCATCAAAGCCATCTGAAGATTTGTTTTGATAACCTATCAGATTGGGTATTTTATCCTTAAAGACTCTGCCATAAAAGAATTCTAATGGGGTTTTTCCGGTTAAAGAGTGGGTCGTACTATTGTACCGATATCATTAGATAATCAATGAGATCTTTCTTCCAATCTTTTTTTAACCTGGGAGTACACGCGTGCCGGTCAGAAGGACCGATCATTAATAAAATCTGTAATTACGCCGTTGGTACAAGGGTGACAATTTTGTCCATCCATCAGGAATGCCTGATGCAGGTTTTCCACTACCCATTGACCCAAAAGATATTTTGGTTTTTGGTTGAAAAAGGGTTCGTTGTTTTCATAGTCGGTGCTTTTGACTAGGCGCGTGAACCTGAGTATCTGAAATATTTGTGTTCAAAATTGGCATTTTCTGATATTGGGAGTACTTTTGGCTGTCGATAATACGGTAACTGTACTGCATAATATAATTCCCTTTGTAATAATTATGAATTCTAGGAATTATAGTGCTTGTACACTTTTTTCGCAGAGACGGTCCCAAACGTATCCTGAACGCTAAGGCATGACTTACGCAGGTAATATTTGAAAGTTTCATGTCTGTATTGATTAGTAAACTTACGTAGGTCATGCCTTAGCGTTCAGGATACGTTTGGGATCGTTTCCGCGAAAAAAACTAATAATTCATATAAACTTTTGGGCAGTCGGTCGATTTGACCGAACGCGTGTAACGACGTAAGTTTTTGGCGCGTGTAATACCGGGTTAAAGCATAACTGCTCTATAATTCTTTTCAATAGGGCCATGTTCTGTCTTTCCACTTCCCCATTCTGTTGTGGCCAGTAGGGGATTGTATGTTTCAAAACAATTCCAGATTCCTTACAAAAACTATGGAAAGACAACAAATTATCTCAGTTGACATCCAAATATTTTGTATATCGACTTTGTGTGTGATGTTATTAATCATAGGTGTCCCATTTTACAATTCACTAATGCATTTTATGTTCTATAATGGCTACTTTAACATCCCTGTAACTGGTAAGTGAGAAAAAACAATTATATTAATTAAAATCGTGGTTCTTGATGATGATTCTTGATATTTCTATTTCTATGGGTCAAAATATTTGAATAAATTATCAACGCATAGACACCTATTGCTTCGGTTCTCATGTATTCTCTGTACTGTAATTTTACGTTAATTTTATTTGTTTATCTTGATGTAATTGATGATGCTCTTGATTCAATCATTTTTTATTGTATTTTTATTTTTTTTTCTATTTATTTTTTTGTTGTGTAATTTCGTTTAATCTTTTCAATGTTTTTATCGATGTATTTTTTCTCCATTTACAGACCCTTGATAAAGTTTTAATAAACAACGAAACGTTGAGAAATTGAATTGGAGTTTCACTACCTGCCTTGCCCTATATATTTTTTCTAATTTTGACATTTAAAGTGACACTTTTCAAAACTCGTTGACGTTATCAAATGTCTTACTTTTCATCACCGTTACGAAAAGTAAAATTTTTCGCAACTGGTGATGGAAAGTAAATTTCACCATCAGTTGCGAAAAATACAGAAATAAAATTTGTGATAATTTTAACGCTAAACTACTTGAAGTATTGTTATTATATTCTTCGTAGGTACATATGGAAATTTAATTTGACCATGAACTAAATTTGACATAGGGCCAAATCATATTTGCTTTTTGACTTCTTAGGAATAATTTATTGTAGATAAAGCAGATTGAGCCGACTCCTCAATGTCACTCGGTACGTCGCTTCCTGAATTGATGGACATTAGAATCTAATAATAATTATTCTGTTACTCTATAAAGTTGGAGTGGTTTATATAAGAACAATATTAATTAAATCTTTTTACTTTTTCAAAAATTAGAGACGCAGACTTGACACCTCTATACTTGACTTGACACTATTGCTTCTGTAGCAACGAAAAACGAAATACTTAACAAATAAACATCTCTGAACTCACCTGACGCTTGACAATTAGACATAATCATTCGAAGTATCTTTTTTATATTTTTAACTTGAATTAAACAGGATCACATGGTCAAAATTAGAAAAAATATTGTATGAAACACGTTGAGAAACACTATTTTTCGTAACTCTCTTCCGCAGAAATCAGTTCGTTACGAAAAATAGTGCTTTTCCCAACTGGTTGCACAAATAACTATTTTAGCTGTTCTGGCTCGCACTAGAGATATACTGTTTTATTATCAATAGATTTTAGCTGGTTTATTAGGTATCTACTCAAGCTGGTTTACTTTAATGAGTATAATAGTGTAATGACTTAGGTACAAAACGGTTCTTGAAAAAATAGCATTAAGATGGACATTTTGTTTCTTGATCATTGACAGCTAGGATATCTTTGAATTATACACTCCAAAATTTTAAATGCAGAAATTCTCAAATCTGTAGACGCTTGATAATGTTTGATGTCAACGTTTGTTTTGCTAGTCCCTATCAGTGAATAAGTATGGTTTTCATCAGACTTTGTTAACATATACGCCTATAATATTTTATTTCATACCACGGTGGGAAGTGTATCATTAAGTCCAGAATGACTAACAGCCTCCTCACATCTCTCATCCATAAATTCAGCAAGTTCAGTAAAAAAAGTTTGAACTGGAAGACCCAAGTGATAAAAAGTATGGCTATCTCAACGCTGGTCTATGGCCAAAGGGTGCTACTGTAAACCATTTTTTAAATATTCAACGCCGAGGCGGATTTCCGCCGAATCGGGTAAATCACCAGCATCCACTGCCAGTGGAAGATGAGTATTCAAACTGGCACAGTTTAATGTGAGATGCACCGAACATGGAGAAGCTTGATCTTGGCAGCTATTTTGCGCAGAAAAGAGGACCACAGAGGTGGGAGGTTCATCAATACACTTAAAGAAATCCTTAACCGCTCGACATTTGGATCATATACCTAACATGGCCAAGTATTGAAACATTTGTCCAAACTAAATCCATAATTGCCATGGCCATCAAAATAACCAAATACTCCGAATCAAGTAACCTCTTTATACCGAAACCAGAGGGCACGTCAGTTTGAGTTTCGTAAGAAGAAGAGCACCGGACAAGGCATCCAAAGTTTAATATCGTACGCGTGTCAGGTCAGCTCAGTACTGCTTCGCGACCTTAGTGAGATATTTGACTAGGTCGGCCACAGCCTTTCTATGGAAAACAGTAAGCGCACACAGATAGTGACAATAGCTGAGGGGTTGTCAGCGATGAGAAGTGTAACTGTCGGAGTGCTACAGGGCTCTATTCTTGGCCCATTTTTGTGGATCTATGCCAACGAGCTACCATTGAGTGACCAGGCAACCAGTTTTACTCTCTTTGCTGATGATACAACAGGTGCTGAGAGGGATGGCTCTATGAACGAGAGTTAGGAAGGACTGCTGCGGTCACAGAGAATGACAAGTGGTTCCCGGCTAACAGACTGTTTCATACGAGAATTTCATAAGAGAGCTTGGGGAGGTGAATGATGGCACAGATGGATTGAAGTTTTTGGGGGTTTGGCTGGATCCAACTCTCAAGTGCGTTTGCCACGTAGAGAGTGTATGTAGCCGACTAAGAAGCAGTGTATTTGCTCTAAGAGGCTTAGACAACAGCGTGTCTACCGCTATTTTGAACATCCTATTTTGACCTTTTTAATACAGTTGCCTGGTATGGGACCATGCAATCCAATGGTGTTTGCTCTGCAACGGAGGGCGTTGCGGGTTTTAGCAGGATTGGGATACAGAAATGACTGCAGGGCTGCATTCGTTGACTTGCATCCTTCAAATTAGATTCTCGAAACCCCTTGTTTACATGAAGTCTAATCCTCATAACTACAAAACATAGAGTAGTGTGCATGAGCATATGATACCTGAAATAAAGAAAACTGTATAGTGCAATATCGCTAAAGCATTATCAAGATGGTCGTATCTGGTGGTAAATTTTTTTAACATGCTACCGGGGTGTGTGAGGAAGCTGCCTGTGGAACAATATAGGAATGCTTGTAAAGCGTTGTTGATAAGAAGAGCGTTCTATCTGTGACTAAATGTCGGGTAGATGTGGTTTTTGTCTTCAGTGCATGTAATAATTTTTTTCTATATTACCTTGTGACGAATATTTATTTTCGATTTTTATTGTGTTTTTTGTAACAGTTGTTATTCTTAGGGAAAATTGTTCTACTTTTAACATGTAGTTCCAAAGTTTCCAATTATGTTGCATCAATATGAACTTTTAAGTTGTTATGTGAAATTTTGTAGTAGATACCTACTTATTTTATTGCGTTATTTTTTATGTTCAAAATTCGTAATTCATTCATTATATTTACTGACTTGTTTAAACACTCTTGTATAATACCTTGATAATTTGATTAGCTGAGGCGCGGAGTATCAAAGTTAACTATAATTTCGAGAGAAATATTTCCAATGAGTTTATTTATTAATAAATTTCTTACTTAAAGATTTTAGCCGAGATATGGCGGGTAGCCATCCTTAACTGATTAATCTGTATAGGCGGTAATGACGCTCTCCGTAATAGCAAAAAAACAACAAATTATTCTGACAAAAAATTATTTAATCGAAAAAAAAAATTCATGTTTTAGATAATATCCAGACACCTTTCAATATTGAATTATTGGGATGGATTAAAACCTAATAACCAATAAATCCTAATGGATAAAAAAAAACTTTAAAAAATGAATAAAAAGGAAGATCGAGCATATTCTCATTAGTATTGAGTTCAGCATTTCAAAAAATGCAGGTGATTCCTCTCGTCTTAGCTACACTTAGCTTGGCTTTCGGTAAGCTATAACCTCTTCAAGCAACAATCTCTAGACACTTTTATTTGGAATTTCTTTTACGTAACAAAACTAATTTTTCCTGAATAATATTAATCACGTTTACTTGCCTATTTCTAAGTTTTAATTTTCTCAGGAATTACCACTTACAGATATAAGAGAACCCAAGAGTAGATAGTGCAACTTTCAATAAAATGTGTTTGAAATTTTCATGCATTTTACTAGAACTTATAGGTTCAACAAACCCAAGTATTATATTTAAAAATGCTTTACAGTCTACAGTCTCGAACAAATTTTTAAATTTTCATCAGTTTTTTATTTCCTTCCCCCTAAACCTATAATTTTTTCTTTAGCTGCACCCAGCGTAGACCAGCGAGAAGAATACCCCTTTCACCCAACAATTGGAGGCAGAATTGTAGGAGGCGTAGTTGCCAACATCAAGGATTTGCCATGGCAAGTAGCTCTTCTCCGTAACGGTGGTCAAATTTGCGGTGGTATTCTTATTGGCCGCAGAGTCGTATTGACTGCTGCCCACTGCGTTGCCCCAAGTATTATATCTTCAGTTTCTCAACTCAATATTCGCTCTGGATCCAATCGCCATAACTCCGGTGGTTTGCGTGTGGCCGTCAGCCAAATCATAATCCACCCTCAATATCAAGATTGCAGGGGCTGTGCTCCTGATTACGACATTGCAGTCCTCCATCTTGCAGCTGACGCTATTAGTGACGGAGTCCCAGCTGCTGCGATAGCTATGCATGACTCTAACGCCAGAATACCTGCCGGTACTACTGCTACAACTTCCGGATGGGGAGCGACAAGTGAAGGTGGCTCAGGATCAGTCCAACTTAGACGCGTTGATGTGCCGATTGTCGCCCAAACAACCTGTCGTAATGTCTATGGAAGTATTATCTCTACTAGAACAATCTGCGCTGGGCTTACTGAAGGCGGTAGAGATTCGTGTCAGGGAGACTCTGGTGGACCATTGGTGGTTAATGGTAAATTAGCTGGAATTGTATCATTCGGAGGTGGTTGTGCACGACCTGGAGTTCCTGGAGTATATGCCAGTGTTCCTGGTTACAGGGCTTGGATAAGAACCAATGCAGGAATTTAAATTTTTAAAAATGGTTATAATAAATTTTTGAATGATAATACGTTGTGGCTTTATTAAAAATGCAACTACCTACCACGGCTTCAAATAAATATTTTGAACTCGAGTAATTTTTACTCCCAAGAGTTCAAAGAATCTTCAACCAGTCAAAATATTCTTGACAAAACAAACCAAGTGACATTGAGTACCGCTTGACTACGAGTGGTACCTGAAAAATTTAAACGCAGCTCATTCTATACTATACCTATTTATTCATATAGAAAATAAATATTTCAACGCTACGATAGTACCAAGATATGATCGCGACATTCTTATTTGGTTTTCAAATTAAAAAGAAAAAAAATCTTATAAAAAAAATATATAAATAATAATGGAAAAATAGGTGAATAAGCATTTGATTAGTGCCAATATTTCATCGTCTATGTAATGAGAAAATTGCCGGATAGGCAATCTCCCAATCCAAGAAATAATGTTTTTATTCAAATTCAAAGATAGCCATCTTATAGTCAATTTATAATTTTCCCAAATAGCGAAGGTAAGGTTGGAAAATTCAAATGTATTATTTAGGGAGGTTTATCAGGCCATCGATCTATGGAAAGAGAATTTCAATATTGTTCACCAATAAGGTCCTACTTAGAGCGGTTAGATCAACCGTTTGTTGAGTCCTTGTAAGTTTCAATGTCAATAGGATATTGTTTTTGTATGTCACAATCTGAGGTTATTGTTGGTGGATCTAACCACCATCGATTCATCCAGCTGCACTTGATGGAAAAACAGAAATCAGATCAATCAATCACTTTTGGTAGCGCATTGCAGTTCAAAATGACCAATTCAATTTGGCAGTGAGAGAAAATTTTCCCAAGCAGTTTTGGTAGCTTCAGCAAACCATTTTCAAGAGCCGACCGGCTCTGAGCCTATATGGTCTTATTAAAATAAAGCTAAAAGCAAAGAGTATTAAATCGAGATAATAGGATAGGTAAAATAGGCTTATCTGTATAATTTATTCCAGCATCAAAAGATATATTTTTATTGAGGTGTGAAATCCAAAATAAGTCGGGTAGTATTATTTAATTGATATAATTGAATCTACTTGTATTTGGTTTTATACATCGCAGCTTAAGCTTAAAGTTATTTGATGTTTAGAGATTAATTCGAAATTGTTAGTTTTCTCAGAACCAGACAAGAACTTGGAAGATATGAGTTTCTGCCCAGAAACCATTGGCTGCTGAATATCTTCAAATAGGAAGGTTCGACATTTTTCGTAGGCATTTCTTTCATTTTAACTGAAATCGAGAGATTTTGTTATTAAAAAACCATGAAAAAAAGTTTCAGCGTAAAATATTAATATTTACGTCTGTTACGTGGAGCTTAAAATCATCGATCGGCGCCAAGCCAGAAAATGTACCTGTATGTGAGACTAGGCCGCGTGACGTCAGTAGCCAGATACGCCACGTAAATTCGTTTTCTCTCCGTATAGGCCTTTACGGAAACGCTGATCCGATTAATCGGATCACCAACGTAATTTGTCTTTTTTCAATCGTGTTCATTGGAGAAAAATGAAAATAGTTTGTGATCAGGTTAATCGGATCAGCGTTTCCGTAAAGGCCCATATGGAGAGTAAACAAATTTACGTGACGTATCTTGGCAAGACATAATACATGACACACCCCTTATTACAGAAAAAAGGTAATAAGAAAAAAGCTAAACCTAAGATCATTAACATAACAAAAATGATAACATTTAAACACACACAAGTTCAGTTTTTCAGGAATATCAGAGGATATTATTTCCTATAGAGTCTACAGCAAAATCAACTTTTGGTGATGTCTCTAATGAAGGCTGTCTAGAATGCTTGACTTTCAGGAACTACCGGATCAAGGACCTTATAGTTACTGTAACTATCTTCCGGTTGTCTTGCTTCAATTTGTCTTAAGGGTCTAAGGTGAATGCGGTTTCTTCTATATTCAGCACCTTGCTCAGTTCGAACATGAAGTCATTATGGTCTGCTTGAGAAATGATTACAGCTGGTTTCCAGTCACGAATACCACGTTGACTCAAGACTTTTTCATTTAGATGTAAATCAGGCAGTTTTTTCGCATGTTGGTCATGGTGCAATTTCTGTTGTTTTTGCCGGTACTCCAATTTTTTCTTAATGCCTTTTGTCGGAAATTTGGGTTTAGGAGACTACGTGTAACTGGAAACGTGGTCTCATTTTTCTGCCCATTAGGAGCTCACATGGAGCAGGTAAGTCTTGCTTAGAAGTTGCGTTATAATCCAAAACAGCTAAGAAGGGGTCCTGCTTAGAGTTTAAATCTTTTACTAAAAGACTCTTTTTGGATTGACCGCTCAACCATTCCATTGCTTTGAGAGCACTCTGGACAGCAATCTGGACTCCGTTGTCAGAGAATATTTCCAGAGGTAAGCCATTTATTGCAAATACATTTTTCAATGAAAAAATGGTTGTTGCAGCTGTTTTATTTGGGATTTTGTTGACTATTATGAATTTACTAAAGTAGTCACATATTAAGAAAATCGATACCCTTGTGAGATTTAAAATCAATGCCCACTTTTTCCCATGGTAATTTTGGAACTTTATGTGGGATCAAGGGCTCTTTTTGATTACTGCGAGAATATTCCTGAACAAATCTGGCAACTCTGAACTTTATCTTTTATGGCTTTAGTGATTACCGGCCGCGATTTTCTATGGTATACCATGTAGAGAGCATCGAGTCTACAAACTCCGCCTCCAAGACTGGTCCAGCTTTGGTTCAGTATTGAAAATGTCTGTAATACGGTATAGAATGTAGTTAGAATGCGCGTCAAATGCGGTATACTTCTAAGTTGGGTTCTCAGAAACGAGACATTCAGCAAAATCAGATGAAATGGAGTGAGACAGCACGACAACGCCGAAAGTATCCAGGTATTCTAGAACCCATGATTCTTATACAATCAAAGCAATATAGGTGAGCAGAGTACGTTAAAGATTTATTCAAGCAAATTACAACCTGAGGTAAAAACAGAAACTTTGGAATTCAAAAGTTGTCCAGAATATAAGGCTCTAATTAGATGCAAATGATGGGGAGTGATTTTGCAGAAGAAGTTAAGAGTTTTGTGGAAAAGCTTAGTGCCGATAAATAGGGTGTTCATTTTAAAACTTACCACCCCTATTATCTCGGAGGAGAAAAATTTTCCAAAAAATCCCTGAAACACTTCAACTATAATTTGAAGGGGGAGGAGTTTTTATGCAAAATTCACCTCCCCCCTTTCAACCTCCCAGCCCCCAGAGCCACCCAATAGAAAATCTTAAATGGGAAGGGGGGTCAAATAATACATCATTTTGAAGGGTTTCTAATTCCATACATTTTGGTAAAGTCTGCTTTTTTTTAAAGATAATTCCCCAAGTCAAAAATTTAGGAACTATGTTGGCAACACAAGCCTTTTCTACATAAAAAATTTGAAAGCATTGACAATTTTACAATGTATTGCCAACATAATGTCATTTTGACTTTCATCTTTAAAAAAAAAACACACTTTACTAAATTTCAATCCCTGAGTTCAACTGTTTTGGAATTATTGACAGTTGAAAATTGACTTTTTTGTAACTTTGACAGGCTGTAAAACCTGAACGGTTATTTTCCGGCGGTTTCATGTTTTTTATTGCCTGAGTTTTATTATTATTCATAAAAACCCCACTTCCACTTATTATGTGTCCAAGAAATTAAACTGATTTCTGACAAAATTTTGATTTTTCTAAATTTAAAGTTAGTCCACTTTTTGCTATTTTAGTTAGAACATTGTCTAAATTTTGAATGTGTTCTGCCAATGAAAAACCAGAATACGAGAAGAACGAGCATATCATCAAAATAATTTATAACCCTAATAACAAAAGTCTCGTAAAGGAAACGTTGAAAAGTTTCGGGTGCCGAACAAATACCGTATGGTAAACCAACATAACGGTTCCTGCCCCAAGGCGTAGCTATCGTGCACATTCTGGAACTATCATAGTCTAATGGTATTTGTAAAAAGGCTTGAGAAGCATCAAGTAAATTAAAATACTTTGCGTTATGAAGATCACCAAACAGAGACACAATAGTAGGAATATGAAAGTTCTCGCCTTTTATGTACACGTTCACCATTAGACTTTGTCACTATGACAATTGGGTGCAGCCAGTTTGTTAGTTCAGTGATGGGTACTATAAGTTTTCGCTTACCATTTCATGCAGCTTTTGTTTTACCTTATCCTTGACCACTCAAGGATAAGGTAAAACAAGTGGAATCTTGCGTGAAGCACATACTTTAGACTCAAAATTGTCTGTTAATGTTATTTTATAGTTTTTGTTAACTTTTCCAATTCCACTGAAAATACTGCTATGTTTGTCAAGAATTTTTTTCAAATTTCCTAGTTTGAATACTTCATTCGGGGAGGTAATTGGTAATTTCACAATTGTTATTCACAATTTTCAAAAGTTTGGTACCCTCCAACCCTAGGATAGAAGAAGCTGATTGCCCACTGTTTAAGAGCAAATTTATTTGGCCCAAAATATCTATCTTGTGTCCCGTATATGACAGCAAAACAGATGAAGTCTTTAAAATGTCACTGAATTTTATTTTTAACATCTTAAAGTTTTTGTAAATTAAAATGTTAACTTGACTTCCAGTATCAATTTTTAGGCTTATTTGACACTGTTGAATGGTTGAAGTTTCAAACTATTCCACTGCATTTACATTATGGTTTATTACATTGTCTTTTTCATGCCCTGATCCACACTTGGAACACATTATTTTGATCCCAGGTGTTAATGATTTGTTTGTTATATTGACCTTCACATATTCCTGACCCTTGCTTATACTTCCTGAATTTCACAGCGTAGACAGCTTGATCTTGATCCTGAGAAGTTACTTGTTGAGTATCTACACTAGCCTCCATTGACCGACAAATCTTCATTGCGTCAGCAAGTTTTAAATCAGATTCCTGCAAAAGTCTTTCCTGGATTCTGCTATTTTTAATACCCAAAACAAGTCTATTTCGAATCAACACATCAGTTTCCTTGACTTCACAAGTTGAAGCAAGCTGTCTCAGGGCTGTGACAAATTGGTCTACAGTCTCTGTTTGTTGTTGGTCCCTTCTAAAGAACTTAAAAGTATTCGTAGACAAGGTTTTCAACCGAATGTGAAGTTAAATCACCTGAGAAGCTGAATTCATTGGGTGCCCTACTGTCCGCTGTTAGTGCGGTCGTGAAATTTTGCGTAGATGTCCTGACACTTGCACAGATGTCCTAGATGAAATAATCAAACTACAATAATGATAATCTCAAACTTAAAAAAAAAAAAATATAACCCTTTAAAAACAAAAATTTTATCAAAACCTGGCCTCTTCCTGATAGTCCCTATCACTGAAACCGCATTTCCTCCATGGATAGCTAGGCTTACCTTCTGTTAATTTTTTTTTTTTGAAAACTTAGTTGGAATTAATTAACTCAAATCTAAAATGAATTTACGAGCTTCCTCTCCCCAAGGACCAAAAGTCTCCACCGCAAAGAGAAGAAAAACAAATCGGTCTTTAAGTTCTGAATATTTATATTTTTCAATTTCAGCTAGTCGAGCAGCCATACCTGCCTTTTTACATGTTTGTTTTAAGTGAGAATCTGCTAATGTATGCGTGCAAGTAGCATCCAAAATTACCTGCTTCCCACCTTTCAATGGAAACCAAGTAATACCATCTGCCCGCTCATCATCATTCCGGCAATTATTTGGAGGCTCCAAAACAGCAGGAAATTCTGCTGATTTTGAAGCACATCCAATGATATTCAATTCCCTAGGTCTAGACAACCTACCAGCGCTTTAAGAACAGCTGATGTCCGATATTTCGCCGCAAGTGCAGATATGCTCTTCATAGACAGGTAAGCCAAGTCTTAAAGCGATGGAAATATGAAAGGAGGAGTTATCTAAAAGTTTTTCCAAATTAACCAAAGGTAATGCACTTAACCAGCTATTGCTCTCATTTGGTTGAAGAGCTATGAGACAAGCTCTATCTCTCTCATTGTTATTAGAAGTTAATATATTATTAAGAAGAACCTGGCAAACTTCGTTATCAAATCCTTTTTGACAAGATGGCAATTGCTTTCTGAAATCTGTTATTTTACATAATAATTTCCATGATTAAAGTGCTGTTTACTCATCTAAATTACTAGTCAAAAATGGATTGAGGTAAAATTGATTGCAAAATATTAGAACAATTTGTATTTGATCCCAAAAATGAAGAAAAACAAAGGGGAAAAGCATCTCTTATACCCAACCACCTAGCTTTACAGGTAAATTACTTTGAAGCCAAGCATTACCTTCTATCATTGACGTCATTGTAGACATACAAAACACCTCAAAACTCATTAGTATAATACACGAACTTTATTTTGCTGATGAGAATAGGTAAACTTTTGTTAATTTGTATATTTTTAATGAAATTAGTAGGTTTTACGTTAAACTGGAGAAGTGATACAGCACATTAATGGCTGTTTGCATCGACTATTTTAAGGGAGGTTTAACGATAATCAACGCTTAAAGTGATATATTCACACGTACAAATGTCGCTTTAAACGTTGATTATCGTTAAACCTCCCTTGAAATGGTCGGTGCAAAACTGCAAACGGCCATAAGTCACTTAATAGCTTTGTTCCAACACAACAGGAAACCGTAAAATGTACCGTCACGATTCTGCGAAAGGCCTAAAATTTGTGCGTAGAATCCAAAATTCGTATACAGAGTGGTTTTCAAACCGTTCATGGGACGGTTTTTGAACAGACTTAATACATTTAACTCACCCCCTGTTCTGAATCATCGTCTTCAACTTATTTATTATAAACCGAAATTTTGGATACTCTATTATCATAGCTATAATAGTGTAAACAAAATGTTCACTTTTAATCAAAAATTTTATTGCTCCTATAAGTGTACGGATATTCCATAAGAGAAAAGAGATTAATACTGTCAGCTAATAAATCTCCTGGATATAAATAATCTGATACATACATTAAAGATACACTATAAAATGGCAAATTTGCGCAGCTTCGACAGTTTCGCTTTAATAGTAACAGAAATGAAAATAACCGCCTTAATATTGGCCACCCTTGGCTTGGCCTATGGTGAGTTATAGTTATAAGTTCGGTTATAAGGTACCTGTTGTTATTTCCTTAAACTTTTCCAAACCAACCAGTTATGATTATAATTTTTTCATTTCAATTTTCTATTGAATAGTATATATTTTTCATTAAAAAAAATTGGAAGTGGAAAGCGATTAGGTGAAACGCTTTCAATTCAACTCTCATACAGGCTGTCTAAAATACCATGGGCTACCATTGGTAGGTATATCGGAAAAGGTAAGACATTCGAAAGCGGTTTAATTGGAAAAAAAGTAGCGATTTTCGAAAGTTATTAAAAATATATTTTCGTTATTGCCTAATTTCTATTAGTTTCCGAGATACAGGAAGATTTGTAAAAAAAAAACTAAAACTGTTTTTTTCACAAATCTACAGGGTGATTTGTGAAAAAGCAGCTCGGAAACTAATAGAAATTTGGCAACAACGAAAATATATTTTAATAACCTTCGAAAATGGCAACTTTCCTCTAATTTAACCTCCCTCATATCTCTTACCGTTTCCAATATAGCAATGGCCGCGCTCGGTATTTTAGGCACCCAGTATGGCACAATGGCGTTTTTTGATTTGATAAGAAAAACTTTCGCAAAGGAAAAACTTTTAGAAAAATCTATGATCTATGAATAATTGTGATTTTTTCTGTGTGTTTGTTGTACTTGGAAGGTATAGGAATATTCTAATTCCAACAGGGCATCTATCCATGATGACTATTATCTAACATGAGAGATCTACGTTTTGACAATTACAATTATCATATTGTTAGAAAGATTTTTTCAGGTAATGACCAACGTGAATACAGAGACACTACGGTCCCTGTTTGGGAATCGGCCCACTGAGCAGTGGACTCAGGCTTCCCGTGCCAATACAGGGACCGTAGTGTCTCTGTATTCACGTTGGTCATTACCTGAAAAAAATCTTTCTAACAATTTCCATTGCCAACGAAAGCTCAGACCAATCAGTGTAGTTCAACGCCGGTAGGGGTATTTGCCCTCGGAGTAGTTGTTTCTGACTGGTCAACGAAGTTCAATTATCATATTACCGAAATTAAGTCTGCCTGTCTATTTTTATTCTGATGAAGTTACTAAACTAATTACATCCTCTGAAGACCACATTTTGCAGCTGTTTCTCCTGTAAATTAGCTCAATATTTCGGCAATAAACTCCAGAGAAAGTTGATAGTCTTCCAAATTTCCACTGTTTGTAAATTATTCCATGACTTACAGATTCCCCAGGTAGAACGTATGTTACAACCTATTAAACAACTTTAATGGCTACAAACCATTTTATCAATATTTTCCTGCGTACTCGAAGTCTGCTTCTACTTCCATCTGATTTTCATTCCTCTAGATTCTAGAACCATGAATTTGCATTGGATTTCTGGCAGAAAAATCCAACAATCTTTCTTGCACTCTACTAAATTTTTCCCGCCAAAGTAGGTACATCAAAAATGTTTCAATTGAATCAATTGGAAAAATCAGTCTGGTTTTGTGTACAGTATTGCGAACACCCTGTAAAATGTTATCACATTTTCATGCAAACTGCGATTTTTTGAGAAAATATTAAATATTTCAAAAAAGGTTGAGTTTTGGTATGGGTAATTCTTAACAAAAAATATGGACGATTCATCAATGTACTAAAATATAGGGCGTTCCATGCAAAATAACAAATTTCTGTCGCATACTTAATTCATGGAGCGTCCTGTATATTCAAAAATATTTTTAACTAATGCAACTTGGATTATCAAAAAACTTCGTAATTTTTTTTTTTTTTTTTTCTTGCATCACCCTGTAAGGAGATATCGTCGGATATCGCACTAAGTGGACACCCTGTGTATTGTGCATCATTCCAATTACATTCTAGAAAAAACATAAACCTAATCAATTATCAACATATGAGAATAAACAGAGAAGTTGCAGGCCAAAAATCTTCTCCAATAAGTCTTTCAGCCAAATTGTAGATCCCTCATAAATATAACGTTAACTCTGTTTCAATAGTTAGGTATTTAATAAAGGTACTTAGTTTTGTGATGATAAAACATAACATTTTTAAATTATAATTTTTTTCATTATTGGAGCTTAGTAACAAATTGTTAATATTTTCAGCTGCGCCCAGTGTAGACCAGCCTAAAGTCGAAGTACCGTATCCCTTCCATCCCAGAACTGGTGGTAGAATTGTTGGCGGAGTAGTTGCCAGCATCAAGGACTTGCCGTGGCAAGTAGCTCTTCTCCGTAACGGTGCCCTAATTTGTGGTGGTGCCATCATTGGCCCCAAAGTTGTCTTGACCGCTGCTCACTGTGTCGTACCAAGTGTCATTCCTAGCGTTTCTCAACTTAACATCCGTGCCGGATCCAATCTTCATAACTCCGGCGGATTACGTGTAGCTGTAAGCCAAATCATCATCCATCCTTTATACAAAGATTGCCTCACCTGCGCTCCTGACTACGATATTGCTGTACTCCATCTTGCTTCCAATATTATTACCCACGGTACTCCAACTGATGCTATACGTATGTATGAATCCAACGCTATGTTTCATGCTGGTACTACTGCTACTGTTTCTGGATGGGGAGCAACACGCGAGAATGGTTCAGGATCCGTCCAACTTAGACGTGTAGATGTACCAGTTGTTACCAAAGCCAACTGCCGTGCTACGTATGGTAGTATTATTACCGAGAGAACTATTTGCGCTGGTACTGCTGCTGGTGGTAAAGACGCTTGCCAAGGAGATTCTGGTGGTCCATTTGTCATCAATAATAAATTAGCTGGTGTGGTATCCTTTGGCAGCGGCTGTGCTAGACCTGGAGTACCTGGTGTATATTCTAGCATTCCTGGGTACAGAGCCTGGATTAGAAGCAATGCTGGAATTTAAACTTTAAAATAATATAAGGCATTTTTGCATCTATTCTTGTTTTATTTGATATTTTCCTTGGTTGAAATTTGCTCAAATAAATGGATAAATCTTGGAGACATAAATCAATATTCTAAACATCAACACGATTAAAAATAAATATAATTTGTGCAAATGTTCATGTTTTCATAATTCACAATATTTTCCATAATTAGTTATTTTTTACATTTTTAGAAAATTAGTGCAGGTAAGCCTGCTCCCAAATGTATAGTTGCGATAAAAAAAAAGTAGTACAAGAAAAATCGACAAAATCTCCTGGTCTATTATACATTAATTTAATTCATAACCAAAAATGAAATATTTTTGGCATTTTTCGACAAGTTTTTAACCTAGAAAGCTTCAGATGACATTACTTTGGAATTTTTCCACCCGTTTTTAACCTAGAATATGTCTTTGCCTGTCAAAATTTTGTATGTTACACCGGGAGCTCAAATTGGGGTTAATAATTTTGGTACTACTTTTTTTTGATCGCAACTGTACATGAATGATTTTATTGAATTTTTGGTCAGTGTCCATGCCTTCCATGGTGACAAAATCTCTCAGCAACTAACACATCATGGAATGCAAACAGACCTCGCTGTGTTATGGGCAGGTACACTTCTTCAACATTGAAAATGTTGCTGTTATTATAGTATGGGGACACAAATCGCGAGAAAGTACATGCTACATTTGCCAAACTTTAATCACATAAGCTTTGCATTTAACTTCATTATTTCCAATGTTTCCCCGATTGCATCTTTGCGAAGGACTACGAATTTTTTCCTATAACTCCGAGAGCTCTTCCATCGAGAGCTTCAGGATCTGACCTTTGTGATCTAACTCCCAAGTCGAACACCCCAGCATTGAATACCTCGATTTCCGAACTGACAAACAAATTATACGGACAGGAAGCTCCCCGAGTGGGCTAATAGAATGTTCGCACCAGACCAAAGTTATTGAAAAGGTCACCAAGCCCAACACAACCAGCCTCAGAGGTATTGAAATAAACATTGGAGCCCCCTGATATCACCTATTCGTTCATGGGACCTAAGCTTGTAAGTATGTGTATGTATACAGGGCGACACTTTAAAAACTCACAATGGCTATCTCAGAAACCAAAAAAAAAATATAAAAAATTGCTGAAAACAATTTCTATAGTAGAGAGGGGGAAACAAAATTATATAATAACTAACTTGTTGTTCACGCTTCCCTTTTTTGTTTCAGTTCCATTGTATTTGAAAGTAGGATTATTTTTTGTTAGAAAATGTATTTTATTTTTATTTGATTTATTTATTTGGCAACAATGCATTATGTATAGGGAGAAAGATGTATTCTGGCAACACCGCTACCACCAGTCTCGAAGGGCGACGCGCAAGTTAAGCACGCGGTCGCATTTTCTTTATTTTTGTACCCAATTTATGTAGTAATAAATGCATAATTAAAACCAGAAGTAAGCGTTCGTTTTTTTGGTTAGCATCAGCACAAACATTTATGGTCCTTCGACGCCGAATTACACGACATTCTGGGTACAAAAAGTGGTGAAAAATCAGTTGAAAAATCAAGCAAACATCAAAATCAACGTGTTCAGCCGGTGCAATCAGCCAGCAGAGTGGTTACCGGTCAAACGCGAGTGGAGTCGAGACGCGAGAACAATCATTTCATGTGGGCGACTGTAGTACAATCACTCTGCAGCGTAGTGAGCGTACATAGCGCCGCCGATTCTTATTCAAGTGCGAGAAAACAGACTTGGGCGACTGTAATCTCCGAATACATCAAGCAGGAAAAAAGTCAGCTGGACGTCATCATCATCAACAGGCTATCAGGTGCGTGCGTTCCATTGTTCCATTTTCATAATTTATTTCTCGATATTTCCGTATTGTTTCAACTGCATAAGTACCCAAATAGCTTTGAGCGAATTCGTACAAAAATTTATAGGTAAATACTTTGTCAATTTCAATTTAACTCAACATGGAAGCTGCTAAGCGTAAAAGAGCCAGCATTAAAGCCAAGCTTACAGTATTTTCTAAATTTTTAAAAACAATAACTGACAAAATAGCACTAAATTCAGCTATTGATGAAGTAGAGGTTATACAAGTAGAAGAGCGCAAAAATTATGCAGAAAATTTGATTGTAGAATTTGACGAGTTGCAAAATGAAATAGAGTCTTTAGCAGCAGACGCTGATTTGGAAAAGGAATATGAGGACAGGGAAAAGTTTTATTCATCTTTTTATAGTCAAATTTCTGTAGCAAAGCATTTAATAAAAACGTATGCAGTTAGTGACAATGCATCTTCTCAAGGTGGTAATAGTAATGCAAGCTCAAAAGCACTTCAGGGCTTGGGCATTGAATTGAAACCCATTGAACTCCCTAAATTTGACGGTTCATATGATAATTGGTTAGAATTCGCAGATTTATTTGAGTCTTTGGTTAATAAAAATGACAATTTGGACAATATTAGGCGATTTCACTATTTAAGAAGCTCTCTGGAAAGAGGCGCTGCGCAGGTAATTAATTCATTGGAGTTCACAGCCAACAATTATGAGGCGGCTTGGAAATTAATTCGAGAACGTTATGACAACAAACGATTACTTATTTCAAATCATGTCAATGCTTTGTTCAATTTAGAGCCAATAAACAAGGAATCTTCCGAGAAATTGAGATACTTACTTGACATTTTTCTTAAACATTTATATGCATTGAAGCAGTTAGGGCTACCTACTGACAATTGGGATATTTTACTGATTCATATGATTTCTAACAAGCTTGATACACATACATTGAGGGCTTGGGAAAATACAAAGGCAAATAATGTTGTTCCCACTTTCGATGAATTCAAATCATTTATAAGGGCTAGGGCGGACTTGTTGGAGACATTAGAGGTTAAACAAACAGAGAAAAAACATTATAATAGCGCAAATTCAAAACCTCAAAATCATAAAAATTCATATTCTACGGGAACTCGCGGTTTTCATGTAGATTTAGGGCCACGCAACTGTCCAATATGCAATAAAAATCATAGTATTTATCACTGCCAAGATTTCATGAAACTCTCACCTAAGGAAAAGTTTGACAAAAGTAGAGAAGCCCACATTTGCACAAACTGTCTTAGGCCTGGGCATTTTTATAGGCAATGCACTCAGGGCCAATGTAAAAAATGTAATTCAAAGCACCATTCTTTACTTCATCCCGAAAAGGCCAATGATAAGTCACAGCTGAACGAAAATGTTAACAATAGTTTTCTAGCACATCACTCGGAAAATAGCTCCAGTGATATTGTTCCATCAACTCCATCAGAGTCAGAGTCTAAAGGCCAAGATCAACTTTCATTTTCAAATTTTGGCAGTGGTAATCAGGTCATCCTATCAACAGTATTATTAAACGTTCTGGATAAGAACAACAAATTGCATATTGCACGAGCTCTTTTAGATTGCGGGTCGCAAAGTTCATTCATATCCAATGAATTTTGTGAAAAAGTTGGTATTGGCAAAGCGAAGGTACACTTGGCAGTCAATGGCATCAATCACACGTCATCTATCATCAATCACAAATGCACTGTAATTATAAAATCAACTATAAATAATTTTCAAGCAAATCTAACGTGTCTTGTGGTACCAGAAATTACAGGAAATATACCTGCGGTTGACATCGAAATTAGAGATTTAAAAATTCCTGAGAGATTAAAATTAGCAGACAATTCATTTTATAAAGCTAGAAAGGTTGACCTACTCATAGGAAGCGATTTGTTTTGGAACATTTTATTGCCAGGGAAATTCAATTTAGGAAAGAACCAACCTTTCATGCAAAATACGTTGTTCGGGTGGATCATTGCGGGTACATGCTTTTCAGGAATTCCCCATAAAACAAATGCCAATGTTCGATGCAATCTAGTCACAAATGTGGACATTCAAAATCAATTATCCAAATTTTGGGAATTAGAGGAAGTTTCAGGGCCAAAATTAATTATGTCCAAGGAAGAAATAGCGTGTGAAGAGCATTTTGACAAAACAGTACAACGCGATTCTACGGGTAGGTTTATAGTATCACTGTCATTTACCGATTCTATAAATAAACTAGGGGATTCATTTCAGCAAGCAAAGAATAGATTTTTTAATTTGGAGCGTAAGTTGGAACGTAATGATCAGCTTAGGACACTTTATGTAGACTTTATCGAGGAATATTTACGTTTGGGGCATATGAAAAGTTTAGGCATCGCGGATGACATAGCAAGACATTTTTCGGAAAATAAAGATATTTATTATTTCATGCCACATCATGGCGTTTTGAAGGAAAACGCGATAACCACTAAGCTGCGAGTCGTTTTTGATTGTAGCGCCACGACAAGCACAGGTGTTTCATTAAATGCTATTCAAAGGGCTGGGCCAACTTTGCAAAGCGATCTTTTTTCGATTTTGCTGCGTTTCCGAATGCATTCATACGTTATTAGTGCTGACATAGAAAAGATGTACCGCCAAGTACTTGTCCAACCTGAACAACGGAAATTGCAGTGCATTTTGTGGCGAGCTAATTCACATGATCCTTTGGAAGTTTTTGAATTGCAGACAGTAACGTATGGCATGAAATGTTCTTCATATTTAGCTATAAAATGTTTGTTTACATTAGGCCAACAACATGAGTCAATAAATAAAAAAATTGGTAGTGTCATTCAAAGGGATTTTTATGTAGATGACCTTTTAACAGGTTTTGATTCAGAGATTGAAGCGCGTGATGCATGCCTAGAAATTTCACAGGTTCTGAAAGATGGCGGATTTCCTTTGAGAAAATTCTATTCGAACGCGCCTTATGTTTTGGACAAAATTGACAAAAACTCAGATTCCGCATCTATTTTAGAATTTGGAGAAAATGAAAACGCAAAAACTCTAGGACTCGCTTGGTCTCCACATCAGGATATTTTGCTTTATAGCATAAATTATCCATCTCCACTAGAAAGAATATCAAAGCGTCTCATGCTCTCAGAAATTTCACAGATCTTTGATCCGCTTGGATTGCTCAGCCCTTGTGTCATTAATGCCAAAGTTATTTTGCAAAAACTATGGTTAGAGCGCCTCTCATGGGATGATCAACTTCCAATACATTTGCAAAGGGCATATACGCGAATAAGAAATCAGTTAGTAATTCTAA